TTACAGTGCTGACCAGATGTCAGGAAAGAAGACAACATTTGACCTTCAGTTGAAGCAACAGATTCTGGTGAGGATGCTCTCAAATCACTCAGCCAGTCATACAAAAGTGTAAAATTAAAGTCAGAGGACACTGAGTCTGGAGACAAAGCTCTGTAGCTAAATAACTTGTCCAATTCAAAGTCTGATAGAACTGACTGTGGGGACTCTGGTCTGTTCTCATCAAACAGAATTTCCAGACACATATCCGTTTCCTCCCAGTCTGATAATGTAGATTCTGGTGTAAACAATCTGTTGCTTGACATATCCACACTGCAATCAATATGAGAACACCTGAACTGAGGAACAGGTGAGTCGAGAGAGAGGGGTTTATGCTCTCCTTGATAACCCACAGACTCAGGAGAAATAGGTCTTACATCACAAAACCAATCTTCTATCAATGTTGGGCTACTTGGATTTTCCAATTGTCTTGACGACACAACGTCCTGTAGCTCAAAAGAACTCAACCTCGACAAAGGCTCAGTTGGTTTTGCTGGAGCCATACCTCGCACTACTTCAGCATATGTAAGAGGTCTTGCAGAGGTCAGCACTGCTGGTAAAGGTAAACTCACACCTGAATGTTTGTCTTCAAAAGTTGGAGGAAGTGAATCAGATCTGTTGCTTGACATATCTGCACTGGAATCAATATGAGAACACCTGAACTGAGGAACAGGTGAGTCAGGAGACAGGGGTCTATGGTCTCTTTGAGAACCAATAGACTGAGAATATGTAACAGTTGAATATTTTAGTTTGTTGTCAAACACTTGGTTTCTCCCATATTCAAATTTAGCTTTTGTGTTATCTTTAGTTAGTGAGGATGTGTCACTTACTGTAATCAAAGCAGTATCAGTTGGAAATTTTAGAATATATTTTTGTCTCTCTAACAACTTAAAAACCATTGGTTTAGGTACTTGGTTTAAAATATGAGATTTTTCTTTTGACTGTTTATGATGCTTATTATCTAAGTCCATGTTTTTTTGAGGTGCGTCTTCATTGAACTGTAACACAGTTTCATTTACTTTCAAATCTGCTTCAGTTTCACCAAATACATTGGTATCTTGCTGATCTGACGAAATCACATTTTCAAAGGTTTGTGGTCCAAGTTTTAAATATGAATAACTAATGTAATTTTCAGTTATTTCCTTTTTTGGTAAGGTAACATGGGTTTTTTCCTGTGTAAAATTAAATAACTGTTCTTTTTCATTACCAAAAGCAGGGCTATCAGTACATGTGTCTTTAATATCTGAAAGTTCAAAAGTTTTAGAAACTGCATTAGTATTTTGCACTTCCGCTGTTTGTACAGCAGATTGATTAGAATCAGCGATATCTGTGCTTTTCACACCTGACAATTCATTAATAAAAAATGAGGAAGCATTAACAGAGTTTGGCAAAAACTCCATTCCTTGAACACATTCTTTAGCCTGGTAGTTTGAAACTGAAAAACCTGGAGGAAGACATCCATTTATTGGTACAAAATTATGATGTAAAATAGAATCAGAATCAGAATCATGGCATTCTTTAGTTAAAGGGCCATTTGGATACACATCAGTATATACTGGTGATGTCAGATCTCCTCCAGAATAGAGTAAAAAATAATCACAATACTGTCTCCTAAGTTGTGAGCGGGATGGTTCTGAGTATATTAGCTCAAGAAATGAAAAGCTGCACTGAGACGATTGAGATTCAGGTGAGAAGGGTCGTGAATCCCTTTCTGATCCATGAGAAGTTGTAGTTAAGTCAGATGAGAAGGTTTTTCTATCATAAGAAACATCTACAACAAATATGGGATCATGTTCAGTATCTAATTTTACAGGTAAGAATGCTCTGCTCTCTTCCTCTGTATTTGCTACTTCAGGCACAGTTTGAAGATAGTCTGGTTGTTGATAGTCAGGCAATATTATCTTATACCCACTCCAAGACTCAAAGGTCTCTGAACAACCAGGAGTTTCAATTACAGGTATGGTAAAATCTTTTGAACCAATCAGTTGTTTATGTTCATGTGCATATGACTGATAGGTGTGGGATTTGTCATCAGTGAAATCGGATGCAACTACAGGTGAACTGTAGCTGTCAGGCAATGAAGAACATTCATCACTGTCTTCCAGTCTATTAGAAAATTCTGCTGGTAAGACCCATTTTTCACCTATGGGAGAGTCTGGTGACATTGCCCTATAATCACTGACTGACATGACAGATTCAGGAGATGACATTCTAGGTGTGTTACTGTGTGTTACCCATGTTTCTGCAGGGGAAAACTGCTTTTCACTAAATGGTGAATATGAGCCATACTGCTCCTCAGACGGCAAAGAATCGGGAGTCAAATGACAATAATCTAAAGAAGTGAAAGGTGAAGTCTCAACAATCTTTATGCTTTCTTGTGGTATGAGATGTGTGTAAAAGCCCAGCGGGGCAAGCTTTGTCTCAGATAGGTAGGATATCTCTGCCTCACCTAGGACTTTATTGCTGTTTGAATCTAGACACCAATCAGAGACCCTATCAGCTGAGTCACAACCCAAGTGAAATGAGCCACTGTCTGTACAATGATGTGACAAAATAGTCATTTCATCTTGTTTTATCATGCTGTAGTTAGCTGCACCAGTAATGGATACATGTACATTAAACTGTGGATCATCTTTGTCATCAATGAAGGGGATGTCTTTCAGACACCACTCCTGAATGTGGGCTTTGGTTTTTTCTTCCTTGCTTGACTTGAAAGGTGTAAATCTCCCATCCACATCAGAAAGATGTTTGATCTTGTCTGGATCGTAATAATATTTGCAGCGCTGGGCTGAGATCTCACGAGGACCCCTTTGAGAGTGCCTGCTTTTCTGAATTACATCTGTGTCATCTTTAGCTATGGCCAGAGTTGACTGATGATTCTCTGATGTCATGGCTGATAACGTTGGATCATAGTGGCTTTTTAAAGTGGTTTTGGCCAGTTGAAGCTGAAGTGTACCGTTGAACTCATCACAAAGTTCAGTGAAGTCAGTTTCAGCTTTGTCTGACTCAGACAAACTCTGGGTAAAGTCTCTGATAGATATGGATGAGTGTAACATCAGAGTTTCAAGGGACTGGCTTTGCTCATCTTCACAACCACGCTGCTTCAACTTTGTTTGGCTGCAGTCATCTTTGATAGGAGGGCCACCTTGAAGGGACTTGATGCACATTTGATTTTCAACACTGCTGGAAATTTGCTGCTGTTTCACCTGAGATACTTGGCTCCCCAATGCTGCTTCTTTTGAAGTGAGTAGTGTACTTACTTGCTCATCTGAGTTGTAATGACTTGCAGTTTCCTGTGTGTGTACATCTTCAGAGGTCCACAGGTTAGGGTTCAATTCACTGCAGAAGAAAACATGACTAAATAAAAAATATTACTTTAAAAGTCTAATTGATATAGCAGATGCTGCAAAATCAAGAACTAATTCAAACAAGTATATTACTGTGGGATCTCAAGCTCCTCCAACAAGTCTCCATGCACACTCTCTGAGTGGCTTTGTCCTGCAGGCTCTGCCCATGAAGGAATATCCAGTAGGGAAGCAACTGAGAGGTCTTCTTCAGAAACAGCCGGGGGTGGTCTGCGATCTGACTCAACCTTCCTCACAATTCTTGGGCTGTCAGCATCCTCCTGCACCGAAGAAAGAGCTACTGAGACTGAAAGACAGACAGAATGAATTAGAGCACAGTCAAACACAGAACAGCTTAGTATAAGAATGTTCAAAACATTTTTACTACCTTCACTGTGATCCAGTGTCTTTTCTATCTCTGCATATGTCCGGGATGTTTGTTCTTGAATGGACTTGTTCATCTGGGTTTCAATAAGATGCACTATGTCCATGCGGTTTATCTTGGTTAGTCTCTTAATCAGACAGTCCTCTGTGAAAGACAAAATAACTTCAATTTGACACAACACTTATTTCAAATTAATTCTATAAAAAACAGATCAACAGTGGTACAGAATCATTAGTCAAGGCATTGATAAACTGATTGTCACAAGCATAAAACAAATCATAAGACCACATCAGTTAGCAAACATGACTATCATTGTGAATGCATCAAGAAAGTGCCTATTTGTTTGTGACTGTTAAAAAAAATGAAGTGTCTGCATATATAATACAAAGTTCGGTGCAAACATAATGTGTCATATTACATCTTCAAGAAATAAAAGTAAATGACCTGTAGCATGTTTGCCTTCTCGTTCCACCCAGCGTTGCAGCAGAGCATGGCTCTGCTCTTGTAGAGAATTTGGATTCTCTGTTCTCACTTGCTGAATGTCATCTTCACCAAACTCCAGTTCTCGGGCTAGTTCTAGAGAGATGTGAAACAAAGCAAGAATTAAGGAAATGAAAGCTACAGAGTATAATGGGTTTGTTGTTGGAATGAAGATTAAACATTTTGTTCAGTTTTGCTATTTGACCAGTGAACCTAAATAAGTGCATTAAATGTTGTTTTTGCAAATATTATAAAATCTAAAATTCAACATCACAACAATTATTAAAATGTGGTTAAAAAACGTACAGCTTACCAGTCCAACTGAAGCCAAGAAGATCAGCAATGATTGCTAATGTCTCCTCTTTTCTGTCAGCATCATCCTGCCAGTCAGCTAAAAGAATGCCATCAAAATAAACCGAACCAAAATATAATTTAACTTGATCTCTGCCTGTTCAAGATTTTAAATGCCATTGAACATTTTTTTACCACATTTTATCATGTTGCAGGTAGGTTTTATGCAAAACATACTTAAATTTGAATGTGATTAAAAACTCTATGCTATAGGCTGTAAATTAAGAGAGGATATGTGATGTCTATGGATGAAAAAGGCTGGAGTTGAGTGAAGTTGAACAATCACTATGTGTTCACAACAAGTACAACATGCTTTTAAATTATTGGTGTAAGTAATGTTGTTATTGTGTTGGTTAATATGTGCTTGTAATTAGTTGATCAATGTTAGTAAAGATAAATTATTGATAAATGTAATTTCAACAATCAGCAACAAAAAATTTAAATCCTTTAAGGAAAATGAAAATTAAATTTGGAGTTTACTTTTACTCAAACTGAGATGAATCAGTAATTTACCAAAATTTAAAACACAATTACTCACATGCACACAGACATACAAACAATATATATATGGAATACTGTAGTACAAGATGAGACAAAGCAAATCCTAACATCAATACAAAAATAAATGAGTAATGGGAAGACTGTTCTTTGAAAGACAGAAAAAATATATTTTTCTGCTGAAGAGAAAAGAGAGAGCAATAGCCCATTGTAGGTCTAGCCATACCTGGTGTACATTCTGGAGTTGGATCATCAACGATTCTCTGCATCTGAGTTTCCACTATGTCATCCCAAGCAGGCCTGGATTCAAAAATATCCTCTGTTCCACAAGATGGATGCACGGCAGGTAACTGACTACCATCAGAATCAGAACTATGTGAGGCTGGAATGTCATATGTAAAGATAACAGAATCTGGACTCATGTGACTTGCACTGCTCATATCGTCAGTCTCCAAAGAAGACCTAACAGATGTCTCTATGGTGTCAGAGAGTTGGCTGTCCATTTTTAGGGAAGAGCATGAAGGAATCATATCAAATGAGGGGTTTCCTTGCACAGTAGCAGTAATTTTATAGAGTGGGATACTGGACATGTTAGAGGGTTGGCTACTCTCAGAGTAACTCCTACCTTCTTTATTAGTTGGCTTACTTGTGTTGCTAGTCTCAGATCTACTTCTACGACTGAGGGTTGAGATTTTTTCAACTATTCTACAGACCTGAGCAGGCTCTGATATCTGTGGCTCTTTCATTGATCTTTGGTCTGTAATTGTGGAGTCTGGTTTGATTGGCAGTGGTGGGGGTGAATCCTGATTATATGCTACACTGCCAGACTCTGCTGCAGGAAATTTCATTTCTATGACTGAGCACTGATCTTCTTCATCTTCCTCAAACTCATCCTCTGAGGAGGATGAGTTTGAAAAACTGTTCTTTTCTGAGCACACCAAATGTCCAGCTGCTGACGTGTCTGACTGAAGATCAGCTATTGTGGAATCCAGATAGTCTAGCCCAAGACTTTCAGATTCAGTTTGAATGGGTGTGAGACTCTTCAAAACACAGGAGGATGCACTTTGAATGTCAGTAAGGATGCAGCGATCATCCTTTTTAAGTAGTTTTTCATTTTGTAACATTCTGTAAGCAATATCAAGAGTTTCACATTTGGGGGTAGTAATTACATCACTGATTTCTTGCGTTAGCTGTAACTTGGGAGTTCCTTGAATGGTTAAATCTGAGATGTGGACACTGCTCTGTAAAGTTAAATATTTTTCTTGAGCTTCTTGGGTTTCCTCTGGAATGACTTCATCAAATGTGTGCTCTCCAATATGAAAACATTCATATCCTTCCATTTCTTCATCCAAAGATAATCGAGTCATATCAATGGCTCCACCTCTGGTCATTTCAAATAGCTTCCCCTCCTGAAACTGAAATGGATTAGGACTTCTCTCATCACCTGGCATCTGAATTATTGTTTTGTCAGGTTTTTTTTGACCAAGATGCATTTGCTCCTCAGCCCCAGCCTGTGCCCTTAGGATTCCATTACTGCAATTCTCACTGTCACGTTCTGTCAATGGTGAATCAACTGTATTCTCACCTTGTGAACAGGGCTCTTCTGTTGTAGAGGAGGGGCAATCTGTGTCCATGTTTGAGTAATACGCATATTTTGTCTTACATGTGTGTTTGTCTGTTTGCCTTTCTGTTAACAGGGGCATAGAAACCTCATCTTTATCTGCTTCCATTTTGTTGCATTTAGACAGATAAGTTCCAAATCCAAACTGAACATATGTCATCTCCTTAATGCTTGAACCAATCATTTCCTTATTGGGTTCTTGAGTGCTTTCTGTTGGATTCATTTCAGAACAGCTCTGTAGTGCACCTTGTGAGGAAAACTGTTCTTCATCTGTCTCTGATAGTAAGGTGCCATCTAGTGGTTTGTCACTCTTCATTCTTGACTCCTGTTCCATTTCCTCAAATGTTTTGATCTTTACAGCTATTTTAAACATCTCCTCCTCTGGTGTGAACTGTTTTGTGTTGGCATCCTTTTCATTATCATTAGTTTCAAGAGAGTCTTGCCTGATGAGCATGTGAGGACTCTCATTTGAGCAAACATCGGAATACATGTCCATTTGAGTGATCTCAGTGATATTTTCTTGATTATCTTCTTTGTATTCATCAGTGTAAATAATTTTGTCATAAGCAAAACATGCTTTAAGCTGGGAAGCATAATCTTCATACACAGCTGTTCTAAATGGCATCTGAAGTTCTGGCTCCTTTAGTTCAGTAGGACTTCCTTCAAGTGAGTCCTGACATGGAGATTCCTTGGTAGGACTTGGTTCGATTGAATCTGGGGATTTCTTTGAGGATCTATCTTCCATAAGAGGACTTGCTTCTAATGAATCATGGTGACATGATTCTTTATCTGAATCGTCAAACCTTTCAATTTCAAGGTTCTCTAAATCAGTTCGATGTTGTCTTGCACTATATGTACTTGAAAGTTGTGACAAATCGTGTGCTTTGGGAAATGAATATGAAGCATGTGCAATGGTATCTCCATGATCAATTTTATCCTTAACTGTTGATAAAAATTGCTTTGCAATGTCCATATTCCCTTCAGTAGATTCAGTAAAATGTTGGGATGCTTTTTGGGAGGTCGCACAGTCTTTCTTAGTGAATGTATGAGAGTCTTTTGTCTGTACTGTTTCTTCATAGCTCTCATACACCAGATCCTCTTCTGAATGGCTTTGTTTCGTGACAGGTTTTTCTTTGAGATATTCTTCAAGGTCGCCACTGAGATGTGACAACATACCTGACATGTTTTTCTCAATAGTTGTTTTTTGTGGTCTCTCAAAGTAAACTTGCTCAAATGGAGTCTCTGAAATTGGACTTGTTTGTTCAATTTGTACTTCATCACTCAGCAGGTTTTGCTCTGCACCGCTCCTGTCCTCTAATTTATCACATGTGAGTACTGTTTCTTCACAGCTCTCATGGATTAGATCATCATCTGAATGTCTTTGTTTTGTTATGGGTCTTTCTTTAAGATATCCCACAAGGTCACTACTGAGATGTGATAGCATACCTGATATGTTTTTCTCCGGTATAGATTGTTGTGTTCTCTCAAAGTAAACTTGTTCAAATGCAGTCTCTGAAATTGGACTTGGTGTTTGTTTTTCTGATTGTATTTCATCAGCTTGCAGGTTTTCTTCTGCACCCCTCCTGCCCTCGTATTTATCATTTGTGAGTACTGTTTCTTTACAGCTCTCATGAACCAGGTCCTCTGAATGGCTTTGTTTTGTGATTGGTCTATCTTTGAGATATCTCTCAAGGTCACTAGTGAGATGTGTCAACATGCCTGACATGTTCCTCTCATTTGTAAATAGTGGTTGAAGTGCCTGTCTCTGAACATAAACTTGGTGGAATGAAGTCTCCAAAACTGAGGTTGTTGATTGTTCTGTGACTCTTGCTCCATCCATTTGCAGGCTTTGTTTTGTGTCTTCTACCATTATGCCCTCTAATTTATTTCTGGCCACTTGTACTTCTTCGCAACTCTCTTGGACAAGATCTTCATTTGAATGTTTTTCTTTTGTAACTGGTCTAGTTTTGAGACATTTCTCAAGGTCATTACCAAGATGTGACAACATGCCTGACATGTTCTTTTCAGTCTTTGGCTGTTGTGGCCTCTCAAAGTAAACTTGTTCAAATGGAGTCTCTGAAATTGGACTTGGTGTTTGTTCTTCAATTTGTATTTCATCACTCTTCAGGTGTCGCTCTGCATCCATCTTTTCCTTTAATTTATCACATGTGAGTACTGTTTCTTCACAGTGCTCATGGACTAGATCCTCATCTGAATGTCTTTGTTTTGTTACAGGTCTTTCTTTGAGATATCCCTCAAGGTCACTACTGAGATGTGATAGCATACCTGATATGTTTTTCTCTGGTATAGGTTGTTGCGGTCTCTCAAAGTAAACTTGTTCGAATGGAGTCTCTGAAATTGGACTTGGTGTTTGTTCTTCTGTTTGTATTTCATCATTTTGCAGGTTTTCCTCTGCACCCCTCCTGTCCTCATATTTAGCACTTGTGAGTACTGTTTCTTCACAGCTCTCACGCACCAGGTCCTCTGAATGGCTTTGTTTTGTGATCGGTCTTTCTTTGAGATATCCCTCAAGGTCACTACTGAGGTGCGATAGCATACCTGATATGTTTTTCTTCGGTACAGATTGTTGCGGTCTCTCAAAGTAAACTTGTTCGAATGGAGTCTCTGAAATAGGACTTGGTGTTTGTTCTTCTGTTTGTATTTCATCAGCTTGCAGGTTTTCTTCTGCACCCATCCTGTCCTCATATTTATCACTTGTGAGTACTCTTTCTTCACAGCTCTCATGCACCAGGACCTCAGAAAGGCTTTGTTTTGTGATTGGTCTTTCTTTGAGATATCCCTCAAGGTCACTACTGAGATGTGTCAACATGCCTGACATGTTCTTCTCAGTTGTAGATTGTGGTTGAAGTGCCTGTCTCTGAACATAAACTTGGTGGAATGAAGTCTCCAAAACTGAGGTT